CAGGTCCCTTCAGTCTGAACCCTGCAGCATTAATGCAATGCTCACCGTGCCAGAGCTCACATTCACACAGCATGAAATGCCTGTGGGTAGCTGAAACCAGGCAGAACCCTCCTCTGCCCATGGGGAGGAAAAGGCAGCGGCTGGGATGGGTTTCTTCTGAAAATAAACCACAATCCAGACAAGCGAGCGTTTGGAAAGCTTGCACCTCCCAGAGGTGCTCCTGGAGCATGAAGGGCCCAGCACAGCATGGATGTGCCATGCTGGGACCCTGTGGGGAGCAACCCGGCCTCTGCTGCAGCACTGTGCTCCTTCCATCACTGCAGCACTGTGCTCCCTCCATCCTGCACTGCTTACAGACAGGTTCCCTTAGGTTTGGGAGAAACCTTCCTTGGAAGGCGTCAGGAATTGTGGCGCACACAGGGGCACAGCCAAGGAGCCCTCTTTCCAGCTGGGCTGGGACAAGCAGCCCAAACCCACAGCAAAGCCCCTGGGAGGCACCAATATCCCACAGCCCACACCAGGACCTACATTCAAAGCTGATCCCTGGTACCAGTGCCCATACTCAGGACCAATCTCCAGTATCAGATCCACACACCACTACCAATGTCCACTCCCAACACCCCAGACCCACTACCAGCACAAATACCCCTTACCCAGTAACCAGGATCACTATGGCATCAATGCCCAGTGCCTCCCAGTCCCATTCCCAGTGCCTCCCAGCCCCATTCCTAGTTCTGACCCCCAGTGCCACTGCACTGATGCTTCCACCACCACCATCCTTGCAGGCTCTCGTGCCGCTGCCTTTGCAGCTTTATGAATATTGTAGCAAAGCCATTCCTTTCATCTCTGCTCCCTTCCAGGGAGCCCCAAACCTTCTGTACATTCATTTCCACCTCGCTACGCCACTTAATTATTTAAGCTCTCCTTCCCGAAAGTGGAGCCCTTCCATTATCGCTCCTTCCTCTGTGGCTCACGTGGAATTTGGGGACTTGCAAATCCACCTGGAGCCTCAAAAACCCAATTTTCAACAGCATCTTCTCCATTCACCTCTGAGGCAGCACAGCCGGGCCATTTGCTGGAGCAGAATGCCCTCACTCGGTGCTTTCCTCTCCATCCTATTGCTCCATATGGGTCATTCTCTGCTTAACTGCACCTCTGAGTGCCACTTGGAGCCCCATGCCCGCTCCCCAGCAGCACTCCCTGCGCTCACATCGGTGCGTCACCACCTGAATTAATCATCAGCTTCACTCCGTGCTGTGCTGCTCACCAGGAGAGATTTTTGCACATTAAAAATTAACAGCTCTAAATGATTGATGGCTGGGCAGAGCTCAGCCTGCTTCAGGATTGCTTTCCTAAATGGCTGTCACGCATCCCTGTCCCCAGACGTCCCCTGCAGAGCTCCAGGCACATGAAGGGGGATGGGGGGGAGCAAACTGGCATGGCAGCAGCCCCCCAGAATGAGCCTTAGCTGTATGAAGTGCCACCCATCTGCTGGAGAGGCTGAAGGGCTTTGGGTGGTGGAACTTTCAGGGTTCAACAGGGGTGCAGAAGGGATGCTCTGCCCCTGCACTGTTGCTGGTTGTTTGCTGGCCCCACGTGTGCAGGGCAAAATATGTGGTGTGTGGCAGTGCTGCAGGGCTGGCAGATGCAATCTGGGTCCTTCTGCCTTTCTCTCCCCGTTATCTGCATCTCTCCACATTGCTCCATGCTGTGCACTGGCATTTGGGAGCACTGAGGGGATGCACAGATCAGGGTAGGGGACAGAGAGCTTCTCTGGCTCATCCCTGCTGCCATCGTCCCAAAACCTGCACAGAGGGGCTGCCCCCACCCCCCAGCAGGACCCAACTGCTACCCACAGTCCCCCCAGCATCCACCCCAGGCACCCAACACAGGCATCCAGCGCCCCATCCAGCACCCAGCCCTCACCCACCCCCTGCACCTGTCCTGGGCTCCCATCCTGTGCACCCTCAGTACCCATTCCCAGCACCTTCCCCATGCATCCACCCCCAGCATCCACCACGGGTGTCCATTTTCAGCTCACCCCTTCCAGGACCCGTTCCAGACTCCTGCACAATACGCTTTCTCCTTTGCCACCTCCATTGCCCACTCCCAGCAAACATTCCTCTTGCACATCCACAGCACCCATCCCAGACTGCCATGCAATACACCCTTCTTACCTCTACCAACCCAGCACCCACTCCCAGCACCTATCTTTAGGATTAGGATTAGGGTTAGGGTAGGGTTAGGTTAACCCTCTCATGACCACGTAGGTCTCTGCAGCACCCAGCCCATTCACCCACCTCATGCACCCATGTTGTGCACCCAGCTGCAGCACCCACCGCATGCATATTCCCTATGCACCTACTCCATGTACCCACCTGTAGCACCCACTCTGTGCAACCACCTGCAGCCACCACTCCATGCACCCCCCCCATGCACACACCCTTAGCACCCCACACACCCTTCTGCATCACCCCCCAGCAGCACCCATCCATGCACGCACCCCACGCACCCCCTGCAGCACTGACTCCAGGCACTCACCTCTCGCACTCCCTCTATGCACCCATCTCCATGCACCCAGCTGCAGCACCCACCCCATGTGCATCCCCCATGCACCCACCCCACATACCCTTGCAGCACTCATCCTATGCACACACCCCATGCAAGCACCCTCAGCACCCCATGAACGCACCCCGTGCACCCCCCTGCAGCACTCACCTCATGCATGCACCCCATGCAAGCACCCTCAGCACACCATGCATGCACCCCATGCACCCCTCTGCAGCACTCATCCCCATGCACCCACCCAGTGTACCCCCCTGCATCACTCCCCTGCAGCACCCACCCATGCACCCACCCTATGCATGTAACCTCAGCACCCCATGCACCCCTCTGCAGCACCCACCCCATGCATGTGCCCTTGAATGCACCCCACACACTCCGGTATATCACCCCTCTGCATAACCCACCCCATTCATGCACCCCATGCAAGCATCCTCAGCATGCCATGCATCCCCCTGCAGCACTTACCCCATGCACGCACCCCATGCATGTACCCTCAGCACCCCATGCACTCCTCTGCAGCACCCACCCTACGCATGCACCCCATGCAAGCACTCTCAGCACTCCATGCAGGCGCCCCGTGCACCCCCCCTGCAGCACCCACCCTATGCACTACCCTATGCATGTATCCTCAGCACCCCCTGCACCCCTCTGCAGGACCCACCCCATGCACGCACGCCGTGCAAGCACCCTCAGCACCCCATGCACCCCCCTGCAGCACTCACCCCACGCACCCACCCCACGCTCTCGCCCAATGCACCCCCCCTTTATCACCACCACCCCGCAGCACCCATCCCTGCACCCCTCACGCACCCTCCTCTCCCCTCCGCTCCTCCCCCCGCTCCCCCCGCCATCTCCGCTCTCCCCGGCCCTCCGCCGCCCCCTCCCGGCCGTGCCCGGAGCTCAGCTCGGTGCCGCCCCCGGGGGCCGCGGGGCCGGGGAGGGCGGCCCGGAATCGATCGGCTCCGTTCCCGCATCCGCCCCACGCGGAAGGAGGGATGCGGTCCCGTAAGGCGGGATGCGGAACAGCCCACGGAGGGGAAGCGGTGCGGAAAGGATCGTCGGCCCCGCGGCAGCGCTGCCGTCAATGGTCCGATTGTGCGCCGGGAACAGACGCGGCTTTTCTGCCGCCGTCAATGGAGGGGCTGTGCGGCCCCGCGGAGGGCAGGGAGGGTCTGGGAGAGCGCTGCTGGAAATGTCAAACGGGGGGCGGATGCTGAGAGCCCGAGGGCGGAGGTGGGGGAGGCCGCCGGGAATGGTTCCCGATGGAGGGACGGAGAGATGTTTGCTGGCTCCCTCATCCCGAGCACCCGGCTGGGATCATTTAGGCTGCTGAGGGCGCGGAGGCGTTCTGAGGCCGCGCTGTGGCCCTGGAGCGCATCAACACACCCCAGTCCCACTCTGCGGGGTGACGGGAAATGGTGGGTAAAGCTGAGCTGACATCACTCACTGGGGCTGCCATGGGGCTGCCGTCCCACCGCTGAGCACAACGCCCTCTCCCTTCTGGTGCTGCTCGGTGATGGGAAGGCGTTCCCCGAGCTGTGCTGGGGCTCCAGCCTTCTGCTCCCACCCCATCACCGTGCCCAGGGCCGGCCGACAACTGCAGGGCAGGGACGGGGGCAGGGATGGCCGGAGGGGCCGGGAAGTTCTGCCTGCAGCACTTCTGGGACGCGTTTATGGCCGTGTAACGGCAGGAAGGGGCCGATCCCCCCGGTACCGCTGGACTGAGGCCAAAGCAAACCGCGGCACGGCAGAACTGCGCGGCGTTCTCCAAGTAGGGCCGGGCACAAAAAAAGCCGCCCGGCCTTCCCAAAGGCATCGCCTGAGATAAGAGCCGGAACCCGACGGGTGGCACCTGCGGCCGGCGAGATCAGAGCGGGCATCTGCGGGGGGGTTGGCGGGGCTGCCCGGGGACGGGAGGGCACACGGGGTGACACGGCGGGGGACACGGAGATGGAGAAGCGGCACGCAGCGCTCGGTGGGGACACCGCGGATTTGGGGGCACTGCTGCCGTCGCGATGGGGAAACTGAGGCACGGCCGCGTCTATGGGCGCAGGCGGGGCTGGCAGGGAGCAGAGAAGTGGGCTTGCAGGGAAAGGAGCCCTACGAGACGCTCTTCTGACTTAAATAAAAGTGGTTCGATGTTTTCTATGAACCGAAAACCCGTCGGGTTGCAGAACTTCTCGCCCCGACGGCCGCTCCCGGGAACGCGAATCCGGGACTGCGGACCGCAGAGCCCCGCACGGCTCAGCCGCAGCGCTCCCGGCTCCGAAATCCACCATTTTTGGCACAAACGCCCTTTCCAACAGTGCCGCTCTTCCCGCGAGCCGCGTTACGGAAGAGAGCTGGAAAAACACCCGAGGGTTCGGATGGATCGCGCTGGGAGGGAAAGGGAAAGGGCTCCCGCCCCCCCGCCCCGCCCCGGCCCCGCTGCCGGCCCGCCCCGCCGGGCTCCGTCCTACAGCCGCCGGGCCCCGAGCGGCCCCGCGTAGGGCTGCAGCCCCGCGCCCGGCCCGGACCCGAGGTGAGGGGGCTGCGGGAGCGGCGGGCGGGGGGAGCGCCGTGAGCGCTGCGGGACGGGGCCGCCGCTCGGGGCCCGCGGAGGGGCCGCGTCGGAGCTGCCGGGACCGCGGAGGGGTGGGGCGGCCCCGGGCATCGCGGGCGGGCGGGACGCGGAGCGGGGCCGGAGAGGGGGCTGCGTTCCGTCGGGTCGGGCCGGGCTCTGCTGCTCTGCACGGGAAAAGGGGAATCCTGGGGGGTCTTAGGATGGGGTGCTGCGCGGCTCCCCGGGGCGGTGGGGACCACGGATGTGGGGTGCTGCGGGGCACCCCGTGGTGATGGGAATCTGGGGGTGCTGTGGGGGCTCCCCATGGTGATGGGGACCCAGAGAAGTGGGGTGTTGTGGGGCACCTCACGGTGATGGGGACCTGGGGATTTTGTGGGGCACCCCATGGTGCTGGGGACCCAGAGAAGTGGGGTGCTATGGGACACCTCATGGTGATGGGGACACGGAGAAGTGGGGTGTTGTGGGGCACCTCATGGTGATGGGGACCTGGAATTGCTGTGGGGCACCTTATGGTGCTGGAGACACGGAGAGCCAAGGGTGCTGTGGCATTCCCTGGGGCGCTGGGGACCTGGGGGTGCTGTGGGAAACCTCGTGGTGTTGGAAACCCACAGAAGTAGGGTGCTACGTGGCACGCCATGGTAATGGGGACATGGGGGTGCTACGGGGAACCTCATAGTGATGGGGACCCCCAGAAATGTGACATACCGTGGTGCTGGAGACCCAAAGTGCTGGGGGTGCTGTGGGGCTCTCTATGGTGATGGGGACCTGGGGGTGCTGTGGGGCACCCCATGGTGATGGGGACTTGGAGAACTGGGGGAGCTGTGGATCTCCCTGGGTACTGGGGGTTCTTTGGGGAACCCCATGGTGAAGGGGACCTGGGGGTGCCATGGGACCCCTGGGCTACTGTAGGCACACGGTGTGCAGTGGAGTCATAGTGCTCTCAGATGGAGAGGGCTCAGCCCTCAGGGGACCCACAGCTGTTGTCACTAGCTCCAAAGGAACTGGGAGCTGGTGGGATGTGCTGGTGGGCTGCACTATGGGTGCAGGACTGGCAGTGCGGCCAGGCAGGCAGTGGGGACAGCATGGAGGCACGGTGAGCAGAGCTGGTTGTCCCCTTTCTTTGGGGCAGGGGGAGGGGTGCTGAGCATCACCCAGCCATACCCATCCTGCTGCACTGCTGGTGGCATCGCAGGGGATGTGCAGACGTGTCACCACAATGGCTCCATGCAAGGATCCCGAATCACAGCGGGGTGCTGGCAGCTCCGGCCCTCCCACTGTGGAGGAAGCTGTCTGTGCTCAGTGCTTTCCCTTTAACTTTGGGTTTTGGGGCTTATCGCTGCACGCAGCTTCGAGGGAAACGTGCCTGCAGAGATAAATCAAGCTGCAGTGGCCAGGGCTGCTCTGGACTCTGTTCTTCTCACATTCCTCATGACCTCAGTGTTTGGCTCAGAGGAAGGTTGCTGAGTGCTGTCAGTGTGTCCACCCACAACTGCCATCGCCCCGCTGCAGCCCCACAGATGGCACAGCTGGGCCGGGCCTGGCACCACTGTGCCCCTGCCTGGGGAAACACCAGTGCCAGAAGCTTCAGCATCAGCGGGGTTGGCACGGGGTTCTCCTGCCCGTTGGAGCGGTGCCTCGAGCAGAGCATCGGGGGGCAGGAGGTGCAAGGTGGGGTGTGGGCACAGCCGGCATTGCCCAGCCCTGTGCCCCACCTGCAGCAACAAAGCCGCCGTGCTCCTCCTGCCGGGACACAGAGAGCGGCCGCTCTTTGAAGCGGTGCCACGGTGCTGGAGGCTGCTGGGACGAGGGGACAAGGCTGGCCTTGTGCAACCAAACCCAGCAGGTGACGGAGGAGATTTAACCCTCTCACTACGGTGTGCCACCTCTGTCCGCCTCCGCTTCTCATCCTCAGAGCTGAGCTGATGCTCTCCCGTCCCCTGGCACAGGTGGGTGCACACGCATGGCCAGCAGCGTGGAGCAGCGCTGAGAAAGGGCACCGTGCCCCGAGCCGTGCAGGAAGCATCGTGATGCCCGGCTCTTATGGGGCCGGAGCGGGGCTGGAGCGGGGCCAGAGCTGTTCCTGGCGCGGCCCCAGGCAGGACAATTCCCGGTCGCGCGGCGGAAGGGAGCGCCGGGGCCGTGCAGCCGTTCCTGTTGCTCTCCCTTTTCCTCCCGCTCGATTCACAGCGGTGCTCAGGGGAAGTTTATCCTGGCCTCAGCGCTGCTTAATGACCTGCAGGGAGGAAACCAAGCACTTCCCCGGCTCAGCGAGGAGGGGACGCGCTTCAATTTACGGGCTTGGGGCTCCTCTCTGCATGGCTTCCACGGGGCTGTGGGGAGCAAAGTGCCCGGAGTGCAGCCCCAGAGCTGTGGGATGGATGCAGGCAGCTCCTGAGCCCCGGGGCCATCGCTGAGGGATGAGAGCTGCCTGCCGTGTGCTGGGGAAGCTGAGATGGGCCGTTCCAGCACAGGGATCGCTGTGATGCAGCTGTTTCCCACCTGGCAGCACTGTTCCCACTGCCCCATGCACAGATGCTGTGGCACATTGGGGCTGAGCAGTGGCAGCTCCTTGGGCTGTGAGCTCACCCCTGGAGCGCGGCCCACGCTGCCATTTCCCTTCCTTCGCCTCTCGTTGGGTTCACAGGAACAGCCCAGCCCCTTTTTGTGCCTTTCTCCTGCAGGGAAGGGAAGCACTAATTCTCATTGCTCCTTATGCTGAGTGCCAGGCTCGTGGTTGGGCGGGCATCCCGCTGGCTCCCACCCAGCCTGCGCGTGCCTGGCTCCTGGGAAAGCCAGGCTCCCATTTCATCCCTCCACCCCCCTCCTTCCCCCCCCGCCACTCCTTCTCCTGTGCTTTCATCAGGAAAAGCAGCCAGGTTCCTCCTGCGCACACTGAGCAGCCCCCAGCAGGGTGGGAGATGTGGTGCAAAGCAGTGATGGGTGCTGGAAGCTGCTGGTGGTCGTGTAGCTTTGTGAAGCATCAATTTGTGTGATCCTGGGAAGATTCCTCACTGCCTGAAGGCTCAATGCCCTGCTCCTTCTCCCCACTCTGACTCATGGCTTTTTGCACCCTCAGAGCTGGCAGTGCAGTCAGCCCAGGCTGCAGAGCATTCCTTAAATGTACAAACAATCCCTGGGAGCAGCTCCAGCCATCAGGCACCAGGAGGGAGCCGGGCAGAGTCGGGGCATGGCTGCAGGGATATGGCCCAGCTTTGGGGTTGGGGGACCCCAGCTGGGGAAGCGGTGTGAGGTGGTGGGGTCGGGCTGGATTACAGTGTTTTGCAGCATGGGGCCCCACTGTCATTTCAGGTTGATGGTCCCCTCCTCAGCAGCACTGCAGGGAGAAGATGGCTCAGCCTGCACACCTGAACCAGAACCTGCCAGGTAAAGGGACCAGAGCTGCATGTGGGGATTGGGGGTGGGGGCACCACTGGATGCAGGGTTGAATTGATGGTTTTCCTCATCCCAGCTGAGTTCAAAGCAGAGCAGAGTCCTGCAGCACCCGAAGGCACGCAGGTGCCGTCCACCATATCACCTCCAGCAGCATCCCTGTACAGCACAGCAGAAATGCCCTCCTGCCTCCACCAGGCCACTGCCTGAGCATCTCTGCTTGCCTTGCAGATCTCGGCGGCCCGTTTTTGTACAGGGACCAGGATGATGGCGAGAAGAGCTCGTACTCAGTGGAAACCCCCTATGGCTTCCTCTTGGACCTGGATTTCCTGAAATACGTCGACGACATCGAAAGCGGCCAAACGCTCAAGAAGGTGCCGCTGCCGCGCAGGGCGAAAGGGACGCGGCCGCAGCCCGGCACGCTGCGCAGCCCCAGCAGCCACCCCAGCGCCTGGACCTCCACCGAGTCCCTGGCCTCCACGCTCAGCGAAGATGGGAGGAGTGCAGTGCTGCTTTCCCCGCACGGCCGGGCCGTCCCTGAGCCCCCCGGCAAGCAAACCTCGCTCCCCACGTCCCCCCCGCCTGCGGTGCGGCTGCTCCCACCTCCTGCCCGCAAGTGCCTGGCGCGGAACCCGCAGGTGGAGAAGACCTTGCTGGAGACCAGCAGGAGGCTGGAGCAGGAGCAGAGCCGCTCGCAGCCGGGCGCCCCGAGCCAGGTGCACCCGTGGGTGCCGGCAGGGTCCGAGGGCCAGCCGGGCTCCGTGCGGATGAGCCCCGGCAGCTCAGGGCGCAGCACTCCGGCTGCAGGGCTCGGGACGGCCCCACTGCAGCACGTGAGGGAGCAGATGGCCGCGGCCCTGCGGCAGCTGAGGGAGCTGGAGGAGCAGGTGAAAACCATCCCGCTGCTGGAGATGCAGATCTGCGAGCTGCAGCGGGAGAAGGCGAAGCTGATGGAGAAGCTGTCAGCGGAGCCCAGCAAGGTGTTGTCGGATCATCCCGATGGGAGCGAGGAGCAGCCCCACGCAGAGCTGGAGGGAGAAGTGGAGCCGGCGAAGGGACGAGCGAGCAAGATAGCAGAGCTGAGGAAGCTGACGGAGAAGCTGGCTGTGCCGGAGCGGGGCGGCCGCAGCGTGCAGGGCAAGAGCGTGGCAGCCAGGCCCAGGGCTGCAGAGAGGCAGTGCCGCTCCGTGGCGGTGGGCGAGGAGCGAGCCATGAGCGACGCCGTCTTCTACTACCGATCGCAGCAGCAGGGCAGCGACGTGGATGGGGGGGAGCGCCGGGACGCGGCCGTGTGGGTGCTGGAATCCTCGCTGGGCCTGGCCCCGGAGACAGAGAGGGAGCTGGAGCTGCTGCAGCAGACGGTGGGGCACCAGAAGGACGTGATCGCCATGATGGAGGGGCACCTGCGGGAGGCCACGCGCGAGCTGGAGGAGCTGCGCAGGGAGGTGTGCGCCCGGCAGCCGCGCAGCCGTGTGGACAAGGAGGTGACGGCCAGGCCGCAGGTGGCCGAGGCCGTGGTGGAGGCGGCGGTGGCCACGCAGAGCCGAGCGGCCGGAGAGAGCGTGGAGATGGCGGACGTGGCCGTGGGCTGCGCGCCGCAGACCGCCTGCATCGGGGTCGGCTGCCGGCCCCGTGGGCTGGACGTGGCTGTGGGGCCCGATGCGGCCGTGGGCCGTGAAGATAAAGGCAGCCAGTCCGACGTGAGCCCCCCCGATGCGGAGCCCATCGGTACCGGCCCTGCTGACCCCAGCCCTGACAACGCGGGCCCCGCCGGTGCGGGCTCTGCTGACGCAGGCGCTGCCGACCCGCGTCCCACCAGCGTGGGCCCCGCTGATCCAGGCCCCGCCGTCCCAGCCTGCGAGCAGATGGAGCCCGCTGTGCGTGATGCTGGATGCCAGCAGCCCCCCCCCGGCAGTCCCAGTGCCCCCAGCCCGCAGAGTGCGGCAGTGCTGGAAGCAATAGGGGCTGCTGCACATCCCGCGGTGCTCTCGGCGGAGGTGGAGGATGGCAGCCAGGCGCCGGCACAGGACGGCAGAGCGGCACCCAGCCCTGCAGCCAGTGAGTTGGGTGGGGGCTCGGGCTGCGCCCCGACTTACCGGGCTCTGATCCCATCTCTGTGCTGCAGGAGCCCTGAAATCTATCATGAAGAAGCGGGACGGACCTCCTCGGAGCGAGGCTGAGGGCAGCAAGAAGAGCCTGCAGTTTGTGGGCGTGCTGAACGGGGAGTACGTGCTCGGGGTCCCGGGGGGCTGCCCCTTCCCCCAGCCACGGGGCAACGGGGGGACCAGGTGGGTGCAGCCATTGAGCCCCTCTCTCTGCGCAGGTACGAGAGCACATCCAGTGAGGAGGAGGAGGAGGAGGAAGAAGAGGAAGGAGACAGCTCCTCCGAGAAGGCTTCAGCTGACAGCTCTGACAGCGAGGAGCCGGGGGGCACTGACACCTCAGAGGAGGAAGAAGAGGATGCTGAGGATGGGGACGGACAAAGCGAGCTGAGCAGGCAGCAGGAGGGTGAGGGGGCCAGCACAGCCCCCCCAGAGCCCCCCGAGGTGAAGGAGAAGTAAGTGCTGAGCCTGCACCGTGCTGCGCTCCTGCTGATGGGAAAAACACACTCATCTCCTGCAGAAAGCATCGGGCAGGAAAAGTTGCTCCAGCGTCACTGGTCTGCTAAGGAAACCCTGAGAACAAGGCTGCAGCTGTGTCTGTTCTACAGGAGTGATGGGAAAAAAAAAAAAAAAAAGGCATTTTTTAACAAAGGAAAAAATTCAGCCTAAAAATGGGCAGATCAGTGTCTGAGCATGTCCATATAAGGCTGTGTTTGGCAGGCTGGACCCCCCCCAGGGGCATGGCCACAGAACTGGGGGGAGGGCACCAGCGATGGGGACGTTCCCTGGGGGGGGGGGTGAAACCTCAGGGCTGGGGGGGCGGGGGCTCCGTGCCCTTGGGGCCATAACCACCCTTGTGCCCCCCAGGTTTGAGCTGAGTCCCAGGATGCGGGAGGCCTGCCTCATTGTTAAGACCCACCTGGGCCACCCCATAGCCACCAAGAGCAAGGAGGCGGTGAGTTGGGTGCTGCGGGTGGGATGGGTACCACCAGGCCAGCCCTCCCCTAAGATGGGCCAGCAATGCTCACAGCAGCACTTTTCTTCCCAAAGCCTGGCCCAGATATCCCAAAATCCCACGTAGACTCAGGGCTGTCCCTGCATGGGGCTGAGTTGGGGGGTCCTGCCTGTGTCCCGTGCCGAGGCTCAGCCCCACTCACTGCCTGCAGCTCGCCAGCAGCAGCCTGGTCCTGCAGGAATGGTTCCGTCTGTCCAGCCAGAAGTCATCCATCCCCGACACGGTTGCCAACCACCTCCTGGCCTTTGCTGAGCTCTCACCAGCCCTCCTGGCCCACGTGGTCAACCTGGCCGATGGGAATGGCAACACAGCCCTGCACTACAGCGTCTCCCACTCCAACTTCCACATTGTGAGGCTGCTGCTGGACACAGGTGGGTGCCCCCCGGGTCTGCACAGCCCCATAAACATCCCACTGCTGGGATGCCCTGGGAGCAGCACCCCCAAACCCCTCCTCTACCGTTCCCCACAGGGGTCTGCAATGTGGACCACCAGAACAAAGCTGGTTACACAGCCCTCATGCTGGCAGCTCTGGCGGCCGTGGAGCAGGAAGACGACATGAATGTGGTCAGGAGGCTCTTCAGCATGGGCAACGTCAACGCCAAGGCCAGCCAGGTTGGTGTAGGCTGGGGGCCACCATGTCCTGACCCCTTGCAAGCAGCTCCTGGCTCCATGCTCACATCCTGAGCTCACCTGGAGGGGCCGGTATTTGGGGAGGGCATCATATCAGGAGCTCCTTCCACCCAGGAGGTGCTCAGAGCCCACGTGGGCACTGGGGACAGCAGTGGGACGAGCAGGTGGCCCAGCTGGGGTGGAACCATCCTGGCAGTGTTCCTCGTGTCACAGGCTGGCCAGACAGCACTGATGTTGGCCGTCAGCCACGGACGGCAGGAGATGGTGGAAGCCCTGCTGGCCTGCGGGGCTGACGTGAACCTGCAGGACGAGGAAGGCTCAACTGCACTCATGTGTGCCTGCGAGCACGGCCGTGTGGAGACTGTGAAGCTGCTGCTGGCTCAGCCCACCTGCGACGTCTCCATTGTGGACAGTGTAAGGCTTCTCTGCCAGGGCCTGAGCACACTCACCCGCCCCCAGACCCAAACCCAAACCTCTCCCAACTGCTCTCCTATCCTCCTTAGGATGGTAACAACGCTGTCACCATCGCGCTGGAGGCAGGACACAGCAACATTGCAGTGCTCCTGTATGCCCACCTCAATGGGACAAAGGCACAGCCACAGGTGAGTGCTGCAGCCCCCTCAGCTTTGTAAGGGACACAGAGGTAGCACCACGCTGCCAGTAGGGCTGCTCAGTGGACAGGTGACACGGGGAGGGCAATGGGGCTGCGACTCAAGTGAGAGCAGCTGATGGTGCCCAAGGAAGGTGCTGTGGAGGCAACAGCAGTGTCCCACGGGTGGCAGATGCTCTGTGCATCCTTGGTGGGAGGGAAACAGCTTGGCCAGCCCTGACCAGGAGCCACAAGAGGGGTCTCTGGTGACATTCATTGACTCTGCTCCTTCTCTGCAGCAGGGGACATCAACAGCAGGCACCAAGAGCCCTGGGAGCCCAAAGAAACCAAATTAGAATGACCTTTGGATCCGGCTGCGTGCCAGCTGGCCACCACCAGAGCCAGGCTGTCACTTGTCCCCCTTCCTGCTGCTCCTTCGCGTGCTGAATCGCTCCCTGAGGCTGCGGATGTTTTCCATCTCCGCTCCACAGAGCAGGCACTGTCCCTGGGCCTCAGTGCAGGAAGTGTCCCACTGCAGCTGCAGGAGCACTGCAGGGCTGCGAGGGGGAGCGGGGCTGTGGGAGGGCAAGCAGCAGCAGCAGCAGGAGAGGGGATGTGGAGCAGCTGCCTCGCAGCCACAGGAGCAATTCCAGACTGAAATATGCGCTCGTCTTTCCTGGCATTTCCTTCCCCAACAGAAACCCAGCTCTTCTCTAACACATGCACACAAAAGAAAAAATTATATATATTTTATATATATATACACTAAGCAATATATATATATAAAAAGTTGAACATCAAATCACTCAATGATTTGATTTGCTCAATGGGAGCCAAAAGTTCTGGGTGCTCAGGGCTGCAGCCGAGCTGACAGAAGAGATGAGAGCCACAGCTGCGTTTAGGGACTGAGACTGCCCAGCCTGTGCCAGGAGCCACAGAGATGAAAGTCAGCCCACAAGCATTTCCCATTTTAAAAATCCCACAGCCACCAACCATCCAGGGGCTGTCGCTGCCTTCACAAGTCTGCTTGCCCTCCCCAAGGGGAGGAGCGTGGCTGCTAGCTCCAGAAATAGAGCAGCAAGAAGAGCTCAGACAGCCTAGGGCCTACAGAGATGGACAAGTATGTAGGAACGTGTGTCTGTGCAAGTGTGCACCAGGCAGGATGAGGACAAGGTAAGGATGAGGACTGACAGCAAACAAAACAAGAAGGCTTTTGCATGTGAAGCAGGCCCTGCTCTAAGGTAAGCAATGCTGCAGCCCCCACTGCCACCCCTTGGCTCCTCTTCTTCCACTGAGGCACACAAGGCCTGGTCTGAGCCACCTCACCAGCTGGGAAATGCTCCCAGGAGAGCTGCTCTGGGCAGCACTCTGCTGTTCTCACCTTGTTTCAGCTTTGCACTGAAGTTACTACATGATGCTTACAGCCACTCTCCAGTACACTGCTCTGTATTACTCCATACTCACTGCTTTTGTTTCACACATCTGTTTACTGACATTTTTATACTGATGTTTATTTTTAAGACAAATAAAATTTAAACTTATTTTGAAATATTACAGCCACCATCAACACTCTCCTGTCTCTTTGTCTGGTTACAGCCCTGGCCCTCTGCACTCCAACCCTGCAGGTTTATTGAACTGCTTAAATCCATCTGTGGTGCTTTTTATTTCCAGCTGAAGTGTTTCAGAGCAGAAAACCTGAAGCCTGGATTCAGGTCCTGTGAGGTGATGGCTTCTGGTCTGTCCCACTTCACAGAACCAAATGTAGCACTGAGACCAGGTGCAGCCCTTTGCTCCCTGCTGCTAATGCTGTACAGCTGTACTGCTATGAACAGAATGAGGCTGCGAGGTCCTTGCAGGGCAGGAGGGTACAGTGACCACACAGACAAGTGGGGAGGGCTACAGCTGCTCTGAGCCACCCCACTCACTACAAATGCATGCCTACCTGGCCACTCACTCACAGCTGATGCTTTGTGTCAACCAGCAGCACAGCTGGCAGCCCTGCTCTGTTGCCTGTCCTCAGCACACCACATTCTTTGGTCACTGCCAGTGCTATGCTGGGAATGAAAAGCAGTCAGATAAGAGAACTCCACAGCAGGCCTCTCCTTGCACTGAGCCAGCCCTGGAGAACTCTGCTGTGTCACAAGAACCAAGGGAAGGCAGGCTCACTCTATGATCTGAAATTAAAGGGACACCAAAGAGGAATCAAGAATCAGATAAAGCAACAGCACACACACATACCTGACAATCCTAAGCTCAGTAATTGGAACATTCAGTTCCACAAATCCTCTCCTCAACTTTTGGAAGCTCAAACTTTCTTCCTGGTCACTGAAGTGCCTTAATGAGGTTCAGGACATTGAAGGAAGACAAAGATTCTCACCTGAACCGTGACAGTTTTCAGACTGGCTCTTAATATTTTGTCCTACCTCTACCTTTATTTAGCGGCCTAAAATAAACTTCTGGCTGGTCTTGTGGCAGAAGTGAAAGCTGAAGGCACTGATGTTGATTTACTGACACCTTGAAGAAGAAAGGTTAACACTTGCTCTCTGTGGGTGACTGCCAGGAAAGACAGCAAGGAGTTGTATTTATAGCAGCACTGATGGAATTGCTTACTGAGGACAGAAAGGCTGAGGCAGCAGGCAGTTACTTTGCAGGCTGGTAAGTTAGCCTCCAAATTATAACAGAACTTTATAGAAGCAAGCACAGTAGCACCTCCCTGCTGGTTACACACAGAGCTAGCAGAAGTCAGAAACGAGGTTGCTGTAACCAAAATAAAGTTAGCCTTGTTACAAGTAACAAGTTAACAAAAATACAAGAACAGAACATCATCAGGATGAAGGCATCACGTATAGGCACAGTTCTAAGAGCAGGCTTCGTTCCCTCTATGGAGCCCCAAACCAAAGGCTGACACGCACACAAAGGCAGGCTATAAATCTAAAACACTCAATAAGCGAGTCCCGGGCAAAAAGCTACTGGAAAAAAAACCTTTATTGGGCAACCACCGGCACCCCGCTGCTCTCCATCTCGCTGCAGGCCGCCCCAAACGCACGCGGCGCCCACCAGCAGCGCGGTGCGAAACCCGGCCGGGCAGCTGGGGCGGCCCGCAGAGCTCAGCGCAGCCGCCGCGCCTCGCGTTCGGACTCGAGCAGGGTGAGGACGTCTCCCTCTCGCACCGGTCCCTTCACGTTGCGGATGATGGAGCGGCTCGTGTCGTCCATGAACTCCACGCGCACCTGGGGCGAAGCAAAGCGTCAACGCGGCCCGGCAGCCCCACGGCCCGGCCCAGCGGCCCGCTCACCTGCGTGCACTGCCCCTGGGAGCCGGTCCGGCCCAGCACCTTGGTGACCTGCGGGCACAGAGCAGCGCGTCAGTACCCGGACATCGCCCCGCCCGCACGGAGCCCCTCGCGGCCCCTCGCTTCCCCACCCTGGCCAACTTGATGGGCTGCACGCGGCTCGTGTCCATGGCGGCTCCGAGGGCAGGAAGGGGGAGGGGCCTCTCTGCACCACTTTATATAGCGACAAAGCTCGCGAGATCCAATAAATCGCGCGCGACTCAGTTAATCTCACGAGACCTAGCAAACATCATGCGCTCCCGCCGCACGGCCTCACCATGTGCACATCCAAATCTCGCGATATTCAATATAACCCCCGCCCCCCCAGCTCTTTCTCGCTTTTTTCTCCCCAAGTCTCGCGAGGCCCAACATGCACCGCGCCCTCCCGCCCCGCCCCTCGCTGCCCTTCACAACAGCCAAGATGGCGACGGCCACCCGCCTCATCCAGCGGCTCCGTAACTTCCTGGCGGGGGTAAGGGCGGCTCCGGCCCGCGGCACCGCGCGTCCTGCTTGCTGCTGCCGAGCTCTGGCGGCCGCGTTGTGGCGGCCTCCGTTTGAGATTCTCTCGCCTTGCCTTGCAGCGGGACCTCCAGGCCAAGCTGGCGCTGCGCTACACGGAGATCTCCAAGAGGTACCGCTGTGGGGGGGCAGCGCTGCGCCCTTGTAACCCGGCGGTGCTGAGGCCTTCTGGCAGCAGCCCTTGTGCTGCAGCTCTCGCACCTTTGCAGGACGCAGCCGCCGCCCCGGCTCCCGGTGGGTCCTAGCCACAAACTCGCTGACAACTATTACTGCACCCGGGACGGGCGCCGGGAGGCGGGTCCGCCCATCGTGGTCGCCTCGGGGCTGAAAACCCTCGCAGCGGGGGCTGAAGGCAGCAGGTAGGTGGGAGCCCCTCTGCCCAGAGTGGGCGTGAGCCTCGTGGTTTGCACCAAAATACTGCTCTTTGTACAGCAGGGGATGCCCCATCCCTGGAGGCATTCAAAGCCAGGCTGGATGCAGCTCTGGGCAGCCTGGGCTGCTGGTTGGCGACCCTGCATATAGTAGGGGGGTTGAAACTGAATCTTTGAGGTCTGTTTCAACCCAGGCCATTCTATGATAATGGGCAGTGCTGGCAGCTTTCACAGGTTAAAAGAACACTGAGCTGATTCTTTGTGCTTTTCTCTAGTACAGCATCTTCTTTTTTCCTTTTTGTACCCCAGCTCAAGCTCTGCAGTGACAGCAGTTGACAAAAAGCCAGTGACACCGGGGCCAGTGCTTAAGAAGTGGGAAATCTCAAAAGACCAGCCCTACTTGTGAGAAATGAGTGTGATGAGCCTGGATGTATGGATCCTGGTTCATTAAAAAGCAGCACTTTTATGGTAAGCCTGCAGTGGATTTAGCTATGGAAATGTTATACAGAACATATTTGCACGCACAACTAATAAATGTATTTAAAGTTGTGATTATTCTCCCCTTTTGTCTGTTCTGTTGGAGTTACTGAAATTGTTCTTTAGTGCTGTTTTGGTTGTGAAATTATTTCAAGAGGATAATAGGATGATGTACAAACTTGAGCTTGGGCTTAGCAAGAGAAGACCCAGAAACACAGCTGGGATATCCCTAATGGACAGAGTTGAACAACACAACTGGCACTCTTTATGTTCTGGTAAGAGATATCCATTAACTGTGGCACTGCTTAGCTCTCAGCAGCCTCAGATGGGCTGTCTGATGGGCTTAGCATCCATCAGTTCATTCTGCTTTTACACCCATAAGGCTGTGACTTGAATGGTTGGGACAGATTTTGCTCTGGAGCCTGGCTTGTAGCACACCAAGCACCTTGAGACATTTGGCATGGCTGGGAGGAATCCAGCTGCTGACCAATGCTTCCCAAGACAACTGTTAAGAGCAGAACAGTCAGTTGTGATAGGGGCCCCTCCAGGCTCACCCTGCCAGCAGCAGGTCTCCACCGCCCAGCACCCAGCCCTGTGAGGACCTGCGAGTTTCAGTGATGAGTGGTGTCCACCAGTGGTGAGTATTATTGTTTTGCTAGCATATCTTTGTAAGGGTATGAGCTCGTTTGCCAACTCTGATTCTCCAATTTGCCAAATCTGTTCATCCATCTGGGCAGCTATCCAACCCCGCCCCATAACATAGAAGCACAGAATCCTAGAATGGCCTGGGTTGCAAAGGCCCACAGTGCTCATCCAATCCCAACCCCCTGCTGTGTGCAGGTCACCAGCCAGCAGCCCAGGCTGCCCAGAGCCACATCCAGCCTGGCCTTGAATGCCTGCAGGGATGGGGCATCCACAGCCTCCTTGGGCAACCTGTTCCAGTGCCTCACCACCCTCTGGGTGAAAAACTTCCTCCTCATCTCCAACCTAAACCTCGCCTGTCTCAGTTTAACACCATCCCCCCTTGTCCTATCACTGTCCACCCTCATAAACAGCCATTCTCCCTCCTGTTTATACGCTCCCTTCAGGTATTGCAAGGCCACAATGAGATCTCCCTGGAGCCTTCTCTTCTCCAAGCTAAACAAGCTCACTTCCCTCAACCTTTCTTCATAGGAGAGTTGTTCTAGCCCTCTGATTGTCTTACTGGCCCTCTGGACCCGTTCCAAGTGCTCTGTGTCCTTCCTGTACTGGGGAACATTGACGATACCAATTAATGCCTCCTAATGCTAGCTTTAACTCAGGATAGCAGCCTCAAGATGCCACGTTCTCAGGGGTAAAGGCGTTAACTCAAACCTTGTGCCAGCATCTCATCAGAGTGGGACTGATGAGCTACCTCAGCCTCACTGATACAACTGCCACATGCTCCCTTTGAAAACTTGTTCACAATTATTTGGGGGCATTGATTTTTTGTGGGTTCCTTGGGCTGGGCTTTGATGTATTTGGTGACCCTACATGTGGCAGGGGGTGAAACCAGACGATCGCTGTGGTCCTTTCCAACCCAGGCCGTTCTATGAGTAGCGGGGCCAATGCTGTTTAGTATCTCCATCGATGGCGCTGACAGTGAGACGTGCCCGACGGCCGGGACGCCGCCCATCCCAGCAGTGCGTCCGGCAGAACCCCGTGAGGTTCGGCAGATCCTCACCGCCCATCCCGGGAGCCGCCGAGCCCACGCACGCGACACGGGGCCGCGATGTCCGCGGGGGGGCGGGGCCTCGCCGTGGGGGCGGGGCTTCCTGAAGGTCGCGCGCCAGCTCGAGGTCGTCTATTGGCCGAGGGGCGGAGCATTGCGCATGCGCCCTGCCCTCCCGCGGCCCGCTTTATAGCCACGCGGCGGCGGGCTGGGGGCCGGCATGGCGCGGCTGCAGGCGGTGCTGGTCGTGCTGCTGCGCGCGGTCCGCCTGCTGCCCGGCTCTGCGTCCGGCAACGGTGAGTGCAGGCGGCCGCGTCTCCCTCCGTCCTCTCTCCTCATTGGATCCCCGCGCACGCCCTTCGCTCTCATTGGCCGACGCCGCCCGCGGCTCGCTCGCTCTCATTGGCCGGCGCTGTGCGCGGCTCACGCGCGCCCCGGGAACGGCTGGCGGGGTTCCCCAAATTGCGGGGTTCCCCAAATTGCGGGGTTCCCCAATTTACGGCGTTCCTCTCCGCTCGCCCCGCCCCGCCCCGCAGGTTCCCTGGCTCGCTGCCCACCCGAGCAGTTCCACTGTTCGGAGCTGCACGATCCCCAAACCGACTGCTACCCCCTGGAATGGCTCTGCGACGGTCATCCCGACTGCGATGATGGACGGGACGAATGGGGCTGCGGAACGAACGGGAGCACCGCGCTGCCCACCGCCGGCGGTACGGGTACGGCCGGGCCATTCTGGGGGGGCTGGCCTTGTTCTCTGGGGAAAGGGGGGAGTGGGCTGGGAGCTCCTTTGCTCAATACCTGCGGTGCGGGGTCAGCAGGACGGGGCGGTGGGGCGGGACACCGGGCTCACGGTGCAGCCTGGGCATTTCCATATGAACGGGGAGCAGAACGTCGTGCTGAGAGATGCGGAGACCCGGCACGAGCTGCCCGGAGCGGCGGGGCGGTCTGCTTCTACGGGGATCCCTCCAGGATGCTTTGCTGTGCACCTGCTGCGAGGGGCTGCCGTGGCTGGGGCACCTCCAGCAGTCCCTTCCTGCGGTTCAGTATCTCCTCCCAGCAATGCCACCCAGCTGCCATAAAGCCCAGGGTGCAGTGGAACAGCTTTGCAGTGTTGTTATAAAGATAAGAGCTGCGGCTGACTGGCAGAGCCCTCCCTCCGTGTGGTTTTCGGCCCCTCCGAAACAGCCTCATGCATCACACCTCGCCCTGGGCTGCGCTCGCCCATCTGAGCAGAGGAAATGCTGAGCAGCCCCACCTCCTGTGCAGCATTCAGGCACCGCAGGGCTTCCTCAGGAAGAGCTTTCAAGTGTCTGCTTCCCTGCCTGCTGCGCTGGCTGCCCTTGGCACAGATCACAGAATGGTTTGGGTTGGAAGGGACATCAAGGATCACGAAGCTCCAACCCCCTGCCACACGCAGGGCCACCAACCTCCACATTTCAGAGCAGCCCAGGCTGCCCAGGGCCCCATCCAACCTGGCCTTGAACACCTCCAGGGATGGACGGGGCATCCACAGCCTCTCTGGGCAGCTGTTCCAGCACCTCACCACTCTTATAGGAAAGAACTTGTCCTCGGGCTCTGTGCTCCCTGGCTCTATGGGCAGAATGGGTGCAGCATCCTTGCTTCAGGATCAACTTTTAATCAAGCTTTCCTGCTTGCTTGGTTTACTTATTGACTTTGTCTCCTCCTACCCTAACAGTCCTCCCAATCTATGAGAGGTGAGGAAAGTTTCCCAGCTCCCAACTGCTGGTGTGGGCTAATAATAGTAACAGCAGATAAGGCTTTGCTTCGGTTGATGCAGTCCTGCTGCACTCCTGAGTGAGCTGGGCACCTGTTTGGGTTTGGGCTGGAGGCTGCTGTGCGCGGTGCTGGGAGCCTGCTGGACTTTTTGCTTTTTTCCATCTCAGAGGCTTCAGCTGTCCCTGCACCTGGGCATGCTCTGCCATCCAGGAATCACGGCCGCATGTGGATGCTGATCGTTGCAGGTATGTGAGACTCAGAGCACAAATATGGGCAGGATTCCCCACTGCAAGAGGTGCCTCCGTGACCAGTGTGAGGCTGGGTCTCTGTGTCCCCTGTCTCAGCTGGAGGAAGGAGCGATGCTACCCTTCTGCATATGCACAAATGCAAGTCCCACCTATTCCCCCCTCACTTGTAAACCACTCCTATGTATGTGAAATGCACCTTTTGGCATTAAATGTAAGGACTGTGACTCAATGGACCGGTGTGCACCCACCACACAAATATTACTGGGTTGGAAACTATACTGGAGCTGAGGGTGATGATCTGGATTTTCTTTCCCTGCTCCAATCCAATCTCTTTTCTCTCCTCTCACTTTTCAAGCTAAATTAGGTTGTAACGCAGTGCATATCATCACACCTAATCACCAATAATGTATAGATACATAAATATTTTCATCCCTGGAGGCATTCAGGGCCAGGCTGGATGTGGTTCTGGGCAACCTGGTCTGGTGGCTGGTGACCCTGCACATAGGGGTTGGAACTGGATGAGCACTGTGGGCCTTTGCAACCCAGGCCATTCCATGATTCTATGAAATTATATCTGCATTTTGTGCTTGGTGTTATAGTGTAATCAAAATTTATCCCATTGTTTGGCAGTTTTTCACCTTGATTAGCCTGAGGGAATGTCAGAACCTCAGAGATCCTCCCCTAAGGCATCCCGCTCCATGCAGTCTGGCACTAACACTTCCATGCTCTTTGTCCATTCTTCAGGCTGATCTCTCATTAATACTGTCGAGCAGCAGTGCCTGGTGCAGATATCCAGGCCAGGCACAGTGAGTAGTACTCTGCTTATGCACTCTTCTCTTTAGTGCTCCTGAGCTGCCTGGTAGCTGTGGGTGGTATCGCTGCATGGGGGAAATCCAAAGCAAAAAGCAGGTCTGACATCTTCAGTCTCGAAAATGCATCCAGGGAGCAGTTGGTGCCTGACAAGAGCCAGGCAGACTTGTTCTCCTGCCAGGTAAGTTCTTTGCCCCCCACGTGAGGGAGCAGAGCAGAGCTTCCTGCCCTGTTTCTAGCACTAGAGCTTTCCCCCTGGGTAGCTTTTCCCACTCTCCTGCTGCTGCTCAGCCACACACCTGTCGTTTCAGTTTGCCCTGAAGCAGCAGAGCTCTCCCCTTCCTTCCTCACTACCAGACATGAGAGCTCTTCTTTGGCTGCAGGGATCCCTGCATGACCTGCTGTGAGAAGGTGCTGCCTTCTTTCAGTACTCTTTTGTCCCTCCTTTGCTGCTGAGGGCTCTGAGCACTCTGCTAGGACATCTGCTAGGACAGATTTCTGGTGTGGGTTGATTTCCCAAACTTACAAACTGAACAAAACTGGATTTCGTGGCAAAAGGACTGCCAACAACCACGTGTTTTTGTTTCCTGTAACAGGGATCTTTCACTGTGAGGTGGTGAGATGGGACTGACCTGCTCTCCCTGCTGCTCACCATGGAAGCTGGCTGAGTTTGGACATGACCCTGATTTGCTGTTACACTCAGATCTGCCATTGGAAATTAGTCTTAGATGGTAGCACTATGGGACTCGAAATAGGACAGGACCTTCCCCAATACTGTGAAATCACCCCTCCTAAAGATGACAGAAATTCCCTCACTCTTTTTGCCTGCCAGGACTATTAATGCTGCTTCTCATCACTGTGGCCTTCAACCTGTAGGTTTAATTCTCCATGAAGGTGCAGTGCCAGGTGCTGTTCTACCACCCCTCTCAGCAGAGCTCACTGAACCCACACCCATCAGATGTGCACTCCATGAGCCTCCTTTTGCTGGAGGTTTTGAGTGTTTGCTGTCTTGCTTTCAGCTTGAAATAACGAGTTCCTTGGGTCAGATGCTGTGAGCTCTGCTTTGTGAGCTCTGCTTTGTGCTTGTTTCTGCATGGCTCTGTGCTGTGCTCTTTGTGTAACTGACAGTGTTGGAGTTGTGTTGTGTGACCCAACAGCAGCTCAGCACCACGCAGCCCTTCCTTCCCAGCAGGGAAAGAAAAAAAAAAGTAATTATAATAATATATATATATATATTTACAAAACAAATGATGCAGAATGAGTTGCTCAGCACCTGCTGGCCGATGCTCAGCTGAAGCACGGCATGTTAGCAGTGTTCTTTATTCCCCAAAGCCAAAACACAGCATCATACCAGACACTGAGAACACCCACCCTGTCCCAGCTGAAAGCAGGGCAGGAGATTATTGACCTGTGCCTCTAATTCAGTGCTGACCTCTGTTCCGTGTGCTCCTTGCCAAGGGCTCAGAAGATGCAGAGCTGCTCTGTGCTGCTGGGCAGAGCAGAAGCTGCCCATCAGTCTCAGAGCAGAGCGTTCTGCTCTTGTGTAGCTTGTAAGTGTGCAGCTGTAACCCATGGGAGCAGCTGGGCACATTGCAGCATCACTGTTGCACCAGGAGGTTGTATGCATGACCTTGCCTCTGTTCCCACAGGGACACATAGAGGTAGCTGTTGGGGAATGATATGGGAGAATAAAGAATGGGAAGCTGGAATGACTTCTGAATTTGCCTGGTTTTTGCATTTCTTTTGTCTCTGTGGGCAGATGGGGACAGCAGGAGCTGGGTCTGAGCTGGACCAAAGGGGAGGTTTAGGTTGGAGATTAGGAGGAAGTTTTTCAGCCAGAGGGTGGTGAGGCACTGGAACAGGTTGCCCAAGGAGGCTGTGGATGCCCCATCCCTGCAGGCATTCAAGGCCAGGCTGGATGTGGCTCTGGGCAGCCTGGGCTGCTGGTTGGTGACCTGCACACAGCAGGGGGTTGGAACTGGATGAGCATTGTGGGCCTTTGCAGCCCAGGCCATTCTATGATTCTGTAACTGCAGTGCACAGTGGCTGTGCTGGGGAAAGTGAAATATGGGAGCAAGGTGAATGGAGCACTGGGTGTGAGGTGTGCAGCTGGCACTTACACTGGGCTGCTGCAGCTGATTAGACAACAAATGGAGCTCAGCCTGAGAATAAGGTGGAGGAAAAAACTGCCTGAGCATCTTCTTCTTTAGAGCAAATGAAAGGCGTGGGGTGCCTGGCAGAGCAGGGGGTGCTTCAGGTGTCCCAGCAGGACTGAGTGAGGGCTGCTGGTGGTGTCAGGGCCATATGGCAGAGGTCAGCTGTCAGGAGCCTGTCCTGGATCATCCTCTTAGCTTGAGCTGCTGAGCTGAGCTGTGCTGCCCTGCTCTGCTGGGCTCTGTGGTCAGCAGTGAGGCTGGAGTGTGAACGTGGGGGGAGCAGCTTCTTCCCACTGCAGGCTTACATAGGCTTTGCTTTCCGACCCCTGAGTGCTTCAGGCTTGAAAGCAAGCCCGTGTTTACGGGTTTCGGACAAAGGCTTGGAATGCATCTGTGACAGTGATTTCCCTTCCTCTGTTCCGTGCCAGAAACGTTTCTGTTGTTCTGATCTCTGGGCTCAGCGGCTTCGATTGTTGAGGAGCTGCTTTTCAGCCTCGTGGCAGCTTTGTGCTGTGCTGCCATGGGGTTCTGAGGGCTGAGCTGGGAGGTGCTGAGCGCTTCCCTCCTCTGGGTGGTGGCAGAGATGGGACAGGGGCAGCTGCATTAGTGCTCACCTGCTTAACCTACAGCTGGGGCCAAGAGCTGCATCTGCTGTGGATTTACAAAGCTGGTGCCGACCTCACGCCTCCAGCACCAGGGGTGCCCTGCTGGGAAATGCTGTAACGTGCACCAAGCACACACAGCTAATAAAACCAGAATAAGGGAAAAGTGCAGGGCTGGAATTAGTTCCTTATATAAAGGGTTAGTGCTCCAATCTCATTAGTGTCTTAAGGAGCGGGCGCTCAGCTGCCTGCAGCTCCTGCAGCGCAATCTGCTCAGCAATCAGCTTTGGGAACCCAGCAGGTGCCTCCACACAGCCAGGGCCCGTGGGCAGCAGCTCGGGGCAGCGTCCCAGCAGTCGGTGTGTGGGGCAGCACGGCCATGAAGCTGCCATCCCACATCCCATAGCTGGGATAGCAATGGGGCAGCTGGGGAGGAGACGTGCGAGTCTGTGTGCCAGCCTGAAGCCTGGGGCACGGCGGGGCGGCCGAACGCCCGAGGAGGAGGAGCTGCACATCCCGTTTGCACAGGACAGCCTGGTGAAGCAATGGAGCTCCATGCAGAACGTGGCAGACCGGAGCCAGGAGGAGAGCAAGGTCCCCGTTAGGAGGAACAAGTACTTCCTCAACATTAATGTGGGTGGCAAGCTGTTCCACATCGCCTGCAGGGTGGTGGCCCGGTATCCCGTCACCAGGCTGGGGAAGCTGGCCACCTGCACCGACCCTACGAAGAAGCTGAAGCTGTGTGATGACTACTCCGTGCAGAAGAACGAGTACTTCTTTGACAGAGACCCTTCCATCTTCCACTACATCTTCCACTTCTACTGCAGCGGGGTGCTGTGGATAATGGATGAGATGTGCCCCAGCAACTTCGTGGAGGAAATCGAGTACTGGGGGATCCACCTGAAGCACTCCCAGCGCTGCTGCCGGATCCTGTTTGAGGAGAAGCAGGACGAGCTCAGCGAGTACCTGAAGATCCAGAAGGAGCTGGAGGCAGAGCTGGAGCCCACGGACTCAGCAGAGCAGTTTGAGGGCAAATGCTTGGGGAAGTTCCGCAGGGCCATCTGGAACCTCATTGAGAACCCGTACTCATCCGTCCCGGCCAAGATCATCGCTGTCATGTCCAGCTTCTTTGTGCTCATCTCCATCGTGGGCATGACGCTGAGCACGGTGGAGGAGATGAAGCACAAGACGGGGAAGAAGTGGATGGAGCAGATGGAGATGATCTGCGCCATCTTCTTCACCTCCGAGTACCTCATGCGGCTCATCTCCTCCTCCAGCTTCAAGAACTTCCTGCGGGCAGCGCTCAACGCCATCGACCTGGTGGCCATCCTGCCCTTCTACATCCAGATCCTCTTTGAAAACCTGGACGAAGGAGAGACGCTGTACCACGAGGAGCTGCACAAAGTGGAGAACGTGAGCAAGCTGGGCAAAGTGCTCAAACTCATCAAGCTGATGCGGATCTTCCGCATCCTCAAGCTGGCACGGCACTCCACGGGGCTCCGCGCCTTCGGCTTCACCATGAGGCAGTGCTACCAGCAGGTCTGCTGCCTCTTCCTCTTCATCGCCATGGGGGTCTTCACTTTCTCTGCTCTCATGCACTCGGTGGAGCACGACGTGCCGGGCACCAACTTCACCAGCATCCCCTATGCGTGGTGGTGGGCAGCGGTAAGGAGCGGGCAGAGGGCTGCAGTGTGGCTGTGGGATGGGGTGGAGGCAGCGAGGAGCAGAGCTGAGGATGCCAACCCTTCCCTCGTCCCACCTCCATGTGCTCTTTTTCCCAAGCAAGCCCACGCTCAAACCTCATCTCCTGCCCAAGCCCTGGGCTGCAGCACCTCCAGCCTGCTTGGCTTTGCTGTGCCGGTGCATCGCCCCATACTGGGGCTGCAGTGTGCGTAGTGATGGATGTGCAGGGGCAGCAGCTCAGCCTGCAGAGCAGCTCGTGGGGCAGCAGCAATGTCACACACACAGCGCTTCATCTTCTCCATTCCTTCTTCAAGGAGGACCACTAAGATGGTGAGAGGGCTGGAGTACCTCTCCTGTGGAGAAGGGTTGAGGGAAGTGGGCTTGGTTAGCTTGGAGAGGAGAAGGCTCCAGGGAAATCTCATTGTGGCCTTGCAATTCCTGAAGGGAGCATATAAACAGGAGGGAGAACGGCTGTTTATGAGGGTGGACAGTGATAGGACAAGGGGGAATGGCTTCAAACTGAGACAGGGGAGGTTTAGGTTGGATATTAGGAGGAAGTTTTTCAGCCAGAGGGTGGTGAGGCACTGGAACTGGTTGCCCAAGGAGGCTGTGGATGCCCCATCCCTGCAGGCATTCGAGGCCAGGCTGGATGTGGCTCTGGGCAGCCTGGGCTGCTGGTTGGCGACCTGCACACAGCAGGGGGTTGGGACTGGATGAGCATTGTGCTCCTTTGCAACCCAGGCCATTCTGTGATTCTGTGATTCCCCCCCAGGTCAGCCTCTCCACCGTGGGCTATGGGGACACAGTGCCCGACACGGTGCTCGGCCGGATTGTGGCGTTTGGCTGCATCTCCTTTGGCATCATCCTCAATGGCATGCCCATCTCCATCCTCTACAACAAGTTTTCGGACTACTACGCCAAGCTGAAGGCGCACGAGAACGAGAGCAGCCTCTCCCTGAAGCTCTCCAGGCGGCTCCGTCTGAAGCAGCGCGTCCTGCAGAAGCTGTCGCAGTGCTGCTGCCCCGACCCCAGGCACGTGGGGTGCTGAGCAGGGCAGCAGCCCCAGCAGCAGGGTTTAATAAATCAGCCCCAAACCGTGCTTTGTCTCGGGTTATTGGCACAGTGCAGCAAGCATGGTGACAGCAGGGAGTTCAATATTCCCACTGTTCAGCAGCTCCTGCTGTGTCCAAGCAGGAGCTTTGCTGTTCTCCCAAAGCATGGCACAGGTATGGGATCATGCACTCACCCCCCTTTGTGCTGCTTGGAGAGCACGGCCAGAGCAGCAGCAAACACTGCATCCATCACCCACCCCATGGGCAGCTTTGTCACAAAGGGAGCCCCGCTGAGAACAGCACGTTTAATAGTTCCTCTGAGTTCACTTTACAAAACGCAGCAATGTACAGACATTTACAGGACACTGATTTCAGTCATATATTAGTGCTCTCACTATATACATATGGTACAGCCACTACAGGTGGGAAAACCCGCACGCCCCGCACAGAATCAGCCCCGAGTCCAACCCTGCAGAGCTGCTCTGCAATAGTGGGGGGGAATCTCTGCATCAGTGACAGCCGCAGCTCCCGGCCACCATGTCATCGTACTGCTTGAGGACCACGTTCTCATCGTCATCAAAGTAAAGGAGGTTGATGGAGTAGAGCTTGTCAGGCACGCAGCAGGGGCTGCTGACGCCCTCGCTCAGCTTCAGGGCGTTGATGATGGACTGCACGGTGGCATGGTTGGTCGGCCTCATGTTCTCACCCAGGGGGAAGGGGCAGGAGCCTCTGCAGTGGTAGGCGTTGTAACCCCGGGGGGAGATGATCCACCCAGACCAGCCGATCTCCTCAAAGTCCACAGACAGGGGGTGCCTCTGGCACGGCTGCAGGCGGTCCAGAGAGCGTGTGCTGCGCGGGCCGGTCAGCTTGGCAGGGAAATCCCGAGGCTGTGAGGCTGTCAGAAATAAGGAAATGATTCCATCAGTGATTGCACGAGCCTGAAAGGAGGGAGAAAGCGGAGCGGCGGTGCTGGCCACCCCTCTGTGCAGTCAGTGCAGAGCCACCAGGAGGTGACAGCTCTGCAGCCCCACGGGGGACATCAGCATGGCCACAGCTCTGAGCACGGCTGCGTTCAGGCCGAGCCAGCGCTGCAGCCTGCATGCACAGACCTGGGCACGGCCCCGTGCTGTGTGGCACCCACCTGGGACTCCGGCCATGGGCAGGGATGCTCCTCGGCGCCCATCATCTGTGAACAGGACCAGCATGGGCTTCTTGCTCTCATGGTGGTCCCCGCTGGATGCAAACTGTACAGCGGGGGCTTCGAGTGTGCTCCCACCCAGGCCGTGGACTGTCACCAGCAAACCTCGGTTGCTACTCTCGTCTTGGGTCCAATCCCGAACCTGGGGAAGCAAACAGCGTCATCACCACGGGACGGGGCTGTGGCAGTGTCCCCATGTCCCCAGAATGTGGCAGGGTGGGCGGTGGGACAGCAGCAGTAGTGGCACCACAATGGAGCGCCCACCCACACTCCCACCCCTCCCCACAGGCTGCACACCCCACCTTGGGCGGGCACTGCTGGCCCAGAATGGGGTGAAATGGGTTTAAAAGGCTCTTGGATACAAAATGACCATTTTTTCCCTCTGTGCCACCCATAGACCCCGTGTAAGAGCACTCACAGCCTGCGTGATGGCAAAGACCTCCCAGCCCGAGCCCTGCAGTGAGAGCAGCCTGCTTGCCAGCAGCTTCTGTCCTTTGGGGGAGTCTGGCTCAGTCTTATCCAGAATTTGGTACACGCTGACCTGGGGATGGAGGCAAAGGGAGGTGAGCAGCCATTGCCGGGGGGGGGGGGGGGGGGTGGGTATTCGGGGGGGAAAGGATGGAGACAGGAGAAAGCAGCGGCGGCATCGCTGCTGGGCACAGCTGGGCACATCCCTGCCCCCATCCGCACCCCATCCCCCCTCACCTGGCAGAAATGGTCCTTTTGGGCTCCCCCCCCTCACCTGGCAGAAGTGATGCCTCCTGGGCCCCTCGGCGGCTCTCGGCCACAGACGGAAGAGGTGCAGCTCCGCCGTCAGGATCTTCTCATTCTTGGCCACGCTGGAGAGGACAAAGAGGAACCTCATCTTCTCACCTTGAGCTGCGGGGAGGGACAGACCGGGAAGTGAAACCAAACAGCCCCGTCCCACAACCCCTCACCCGCAACCCCAGCACGGCAGGGACCCCCACCCCTTACTTCTATCCAGGAAGCTGCGCACCGTGTTGCCCTCCAGGACGTCGGGGTTTTTGGTGACGCCGTCGGCGTTGGCAACCGCGTTGAACAGATCCACCATGAACTGCGGCGGCTGTTTGACGTGGGCCGGGGGGGGCGGGGGGTCCTCCATGCCAAAAACTTCCAGCAGCTTTTTGAGAGCCTCAGCCCTGCGGCTTTCCGTGGATGCCGGCCGTGCCAAGGCCAGCAGCAGCAGCACGGCGCCCAGCATGGCTCCGCTGTCCCGGCCCCGGCTTCACTCCCCTCTGCAAAACCCAGCGCCGCATTTATAACTCGCTGGAAAGATGGATTGGAGTCAAATATGCACATGGGCGATCAGGAGGGTAAAGAGAGCTAATTGCCGTGCTAACAAGGTGCAAAGATGGGCACCCTGCACCAATTAGCCCCAGTACACAACGGGAGGGGAGGGGAGGGCTGGCAGCAGCGCTTTGGGGGGACGCGGGTCCGGCTGCGACCCTCGGCGCGGCTGCCCCGACTGCCTTTGCTCTCCCAAGGAAACTGACCGGATTTTAATGACAGCAGTCATGGGACCAGAGCACCACAGCCAGGCTGGACCGGGCCGCATCCCCTCCTGTCCCCACGCTCTCGTGGCTGTGGGTCGGTGTGATGGGATGAGAGCCCATCCCTTGCATGTGCTCCCCCCCCTCCTCCCCGGCAGAGCGAAACCGGCCGGTGAAGGCAGTCATGTTCATGTTAATGCAGTGCACCCAGAGCTGCATGGCCAGCTGGCATCTGTCATTTACCCCAACCCCACATTCTGATGGTGAAAGGGCCATTAATTATCCAGAATACACAAAGAGGCAACGACAGGCTTGAGTTAATTGGCAGAGGAAACTCTTCACATCCTCCACATCCTTTCCTTCCCCTTCCCTGCCCGCCAGCAGCAGCACATCCCGTAGGACTGGGGCTGCTCCCCACCCCACCCCAAGGTGCCCACCTCCCCCTACTCCCCCTCCTACCCCAATTCTGCCCATGCTGTGCACAGAGCAGCTGGCCTTGCAGTGCCAGACGCCACACGTGCAGGGCAGCATCCCGGGACGTTTTGGCAGAGCTGCCAATTGCCTGCAATGTTTACCTTACAAACTGCCAAACATTTTGCAGAGGGTTCATTTCTAACGAGCCCTGCTTAAACCAGCGGCTCCCATTGATAAAAGTCACCTTCTGCCATTTACATACAGCACAGACAGTCTGGCGGGGGTCTCACGGTGGCCCCACCTGCAGACCCCCCACCCCTGCACTGCCAGATGGCCACCCCTGCCTGGAGCAGCCATTTCTGTACATCCCCTGTGCCCCAGCTCTGCTTTCATCACCCAAGGGCTGTCTGTCCCTTCCTCTCAATGGAGCTCAGTGCCCATACAGAGCTGGGATTTCTGTCTTTGGGGGGTTGACCTGCACTCCCCTTTTCCCTCCCTCAGCCTCCAACCAGTGGAGCATCCCTCTCTTGTCCCCATCCCACCCCACAGGCACAGAGCAGCTCTGATGTCAGGGCAGCATCTCTCAGCATCTCCTCCCCGACTGCATCTGCTGCTGTGGGGCACTGTCGTCTCCATCGAGTTATTCTTCAGCCCACTTCACTGCACGGCTGGATGCAGCCAAAGCAGAGCGTGCTGCCCTCAATCTGCACAGCTGTTATCCCCAAAATCAGCCCAGGAGCTGCAGGGCATCACTGCAGGGCAGTGGGATGGGGCAGCAGGCAGCTGTGCTTACCTAAGCAGGCGGGGATCCCCCGAGGAGCAGCGGCCTCAGCTCCTTCCCACATCAATTTCCTGCAGAGATTTGCAACACAAAGGCACGAAGATCCCCCTCAGCACCTCGCTGGGACACCCCGGGGGACGGCCCCAATACACAGCCCAGGGCAGGCAGACCCAGAGGGAGGAGGTTTGGGGATGCAGTGTCCAACCATTAAACTGCTTCTCAAATAAATCTCTCTGCTCCCTCGATTCGGAAAGAAACCCTCAGCTCCCAGCGAAGGCTGCTGGCTGCTTTCAGGCACTGATGGATAAATCAGAGCCCCAGACTGCTGCAATGTGGGATGTTTTTACCACGATACCTCATGGCTGAGGGGCAATAAAGGGCTGCCCCCCCCCCCGAGCAGCACAGCCCGGGCTGCTGCAGGCAGGGACCAACCTCAGGTATTGCTCCTTCATCCCACCATGCTGTGATCACCTCGTGTGGGTTTCCAAGCAGTGTGCAGGAAGAGAATGGTAACAACCTTTCCCAGGACCCCCATTCTCCAGTGCAAGCACTGAACATTCAGCTTTGACAGCAGAAATGCAGAAGGAAAATGCCTTCAGGGCAGTGGGGAATCCAACCTGGGGGTCGGTGGGCATTTCCCAGCTGGGCTGTTATCACCGAATGAGGCACCATCCATCAACCAGCCTGGGGACAACTGCACCTTCCTGGCACAGCTGTGGGGCACACAGATTCTCCCAGCCCTGGAAAGGAGCACTTCACACTGCCTAACTCCCTTATGGAGCAGCAATGCGTCCCTGCAGACCCCCACGGGATGGATGCCATTCCCTCTCATGTGCAGGCTCACAAGGCAGCACCAAACGGACCCCAAAGCTCTGCTTTACCCCAGCAGGTTTTGCTCTGGTTTGGACAATTGAGTTTGCAATTCTCATTTCTAAGTGATTTTGGCACCATCCGTGCCAACACTTTACAGCTGCACATGGAACTGAAACCAGAGCTGCTCCTAAAGGCCTTGGTGAACAAATGGATCCATTTCCTCCTTTCAGGACATCACCCCAGCCTTCCTGAGCCTCTGCCACGGGCTCAGCCCAAAGGCAAACCCTTTGCAAAGCACAGCAGGGAAACACCAGACACAAAACCACGCACCCCTATGAGCCCAAATCAGCACTGAAGACCACAAAAGGAACTCAGTGGCAAAGAAGGCACCATGCAGCTCTCCCCAAAGCACCATGGCTCATGGGGCCGCTTGCTGTGCTTCGGGAAGGGCAAGGAGGGCTGCAGCATCCCAGGTACTTACATCAGCCCTGCCTGATCCGGGAGGTGAGAAGGTGAACATCTGAACATCTCAGTCACTGGCACACAGCTCCCACCTGCTGCCTGCACAGTGATGGCATCTCCAGCACAGCAGCCACATCTCGGGCTCTGCACACACCTCCAAGGGATGCTGGAGTGCCATCAGGTTTGCTCACAGCCCTCCCCATGCTGCTCTGTCCTTCCCACTGCTTTCCAACTAATGAAGCCATGGGAACTCGGCCACTTTCAAGTCTCATTCCAAAGGGACACAAACCCTCCACCCCCACTGCCTGCATTCAGCGGGTGTTTCACCCACACATAACTCACATTTGTTCCTCAGCAGCACCAAAACTGAAACCCAGAGAGGTTCTTTGGCAGCAGACAGCGATGTGCTCAGAGGTTGGGTTCAGCCCTACCTGCCCAGCCCACCAGATCCACCTCCAGGGAAGCGTTTTGCCAGATTCAGCAGTGAGAGCAGAGGAGAAGAGCAGTGTAACACATCAGGCATCGCCTTCAAAACGGGGGATTTATTATTATCCAACTGTGATCCCTTGCAGGTGCAGCCATCACACAACTGCATGGAAGCTGTACAGCCCCAAAAACAACCTAGGCCTCTCTGGAGCTCATATGTGGTGCCTGGAGGAGAGCTGGGATTCCTCAGACAGAAACCTTGGGGAAATGCTCAGTAAAGCAAAATGCCATGGGAGAGCATCCCTGCCAAACCACATTGGTGCCATGGGAGCAGCACAGCAGCAGAGAGGAGCACTCAGGACAGCAACTCAGCAACAGCACCGCCTTTAATCGCATTGGTAAAAAAAACCAACAAAAGCCCAACAAAACACATACAAAGAAAAATACATTTCCATTTAAAAAATATATCTATAAACCACCAGATATGTATAAATCATCAGGTTTGTGCCTCGGGATCTGAGCTCTCTCAGAGGGGCAGGGCTGGGGTTCAAAGTCATACAAAATACTTACAGAGGAACAAACCACGTGCTTTAAATAAAGAACTTACAATGACTTAGACTTTATACAAAGTATTATAGTTGCCCATTTCAGTGTCTCAGTGCCAGGAATGCATCCAACCCTTGGCATCCTGCCTGCCACCCCACACTGGTGCCTGCAGTCCCTTTTTGCAGAGAACTCCATTTCTGACCAACTCAGTCCAAAGTACCTAAAAATGAAAACAAAGATAAACCAACACGGCCTCAGAGATCAGAAAGGGAACAGAAATGCAGCTACATGAACAACTGAAACTTGGGGTCACAGGGAGATATGGGTCCATAGGGGGGGCTATATGGGGATGTGGGGCAAAGGCCCAGACATAAGGCTATGGGGGGAAATAGGGGGATATGGGGCTATAAGGGTGTGTAGGGGGGATATAGGGGGATAAGGGGCTATAGGAAGCAGTGGGGAGGGGCCACAAGGGGGATATAGGGAGATAGGGATGCTGTGGAGTGAGGGTACAGGGGGATATAGGGGCTATGAGTTTATAGGGGGAGGCTATAGGGAGATGTGGAGCTAGAAGGCCCAGATAAAGGGACTGTGGGGGGGAAATAGGAGAATATGGGGCCATAGGGGCTATACAAGGGATATGGGGGATATGTGGCTACAGGGAGCAGTGGAGGGCTATAGGGGAGGTATAGGAGACCATGGTTTAT